CACAGCCTTTCAACACGTGTGTTTTCATGAACGATCCGTTCATTGCCTCTGTCACGCGGCAAATGAACAAAAGGCTTCTGAAGGTAAAGTAATTATTTATGTTTCCTGTAAATTATTTTTGACTGCATTATAATGATTTCTTAATTCAGAATATGATCAAGATTACGTAGGTGGATGTGTTCGGAGAATTTGCCTGTTAAAAGTATAACATTTAAAGCCCCTGTTCAAAATGAATGAAATTACTAGAAAAAAAGATTAGGCCTAGTTCATTTTGATGAACGAGATCGAACAAGAGAGTCAGTAAAACGATCCGAACTTCCCATCACGGGCGTGACATGGGGGCATGGCAGCATCGACGATTCCATTTTTTTATTTGAAGTTCAAGATTGTGACTTAATTTCGGTCAATTTCGTTTTAAAATCGAAATCGTGACGCCCCTAATAAAAATACAGAATTGAATGGTAAGTGCTATAAAATAGTATAAACTGCCAATACAAATGGATAGATTTACATATGGCTACGGATATATTTGCTCCAGTCCAGCAGGGGCAGCAGAGAGCAGGTTTATCAGACTGAAGTGATCAGAGAGGAACAGAAACATCAGATTCAGGCACTTTCTGCTGTTTCTGCATCATCAATACAAAGGTCCAGTTTGGCCTGTATAATTTGTGTTTATTTGAGTGATCACAGATTCCTGTTGTTGGCTTTTGAAGCTTATGATATGTGGTTGAATGTACAACACAAACAGTAACATTGTCAAAGTCACCAGCTCAGTCACCTGTCAGCACTACATTTCCCAGCACCCCTCCTGGTCCCCACCTGCACTCAGTCAGCCATCACCACACCTGCTACAGATTATCACCCGAATACTGATTCCCTGCACCTCCACTCCCTCATCAACGAACCCTATACTATCATCACCTTCACATCATTGTGGTCTTGTTATTAACGGTTGTCATAGACTCACTGTTTTCTGGTTCCTGCTGTCCTTCCACCCTCTGCTGAAATAAACCTGGTGGTGATTCACATGTCTGTTCCTTTGTGTTGTGTGACAGATATGGGTCTGCAGGGAGGTTTTAAGTTAAGTCTTTGTTCTTGTCGAAGGCCAGTGTGAAATGAAACCACTTCCCATTTAGGTTTAACACTACTTTTAAAACCCTACTCATCATTCTATAGACCACAGCTCATCTGTGAAGACGTACTGTACTGTGAGACACATCGAATAATGGATTCAGAAGACATGTATCAAACTGTTTTTAAGTTGGACTGATAGTCTTTATTATTGCCAGTGTGAATTGTAACCACTTCCTGTTTAAAGTTAATACTTAGAAAAAAAAATGTCAAAGGTTGTATGTAACAGGGGCACGTTCAAGTTCAAAACGGTGCGCAACGTTTTGCTACGGTTTCCGGGTTGAACGTCATGTTTCCTGGAAACGGCGTGCACCGGTGTGCAACGGGGTTTGAGATGCGTTTTCTCTTGTTTGGTGGGTGTGTTAGAACTGCAGTATAATCAGCAGCAACATGTATATAAAGCACGCGGTATTAAAGCAACACTATGTAACATTTTTTACCTTAAAATAATGTTTCCAAAATCTTATCAGTGATTCATCAAGTCGTAACAGGGTGAAAGGCACTTCTGCCATAGCATGACGGGTCTGTATCGCTTTTACTGGCACTACAGAACTTCGGGGTTCGGGTAGTAATCCGACCACAAAAAGAACTACAAAATTCGACTGCTTTACGTCAGCGCTACAGTGGTCATTATTTCGTTTTTCTTCGTTTCTGAAGTCGCAATACATCATCCTTTCATGAAATCATGTAACATACTCTACCATGTCTGTGGACATCGTTCATTCTAAAGCCGGTGCTGGATAAACAGCGAGCGTGCGTGCGACGGTAGGCTAAATTATTTACTACAGCGGTAATGGACAATTTCGTTTCCAACCAGTAGGGCGACCGAAGAGGAAAAGTTCCATGGTGTTGCTTTAAAGTGAACTCGCACAATGGGTTCAAGGAAAGTAATTTACAAATGTGTTCGATGCAGCTCGGTATACGCAACAACTGAGGATATTAGAAGACATGTTTGTCGTAAGTTTCATTGTAAAAATATAGGATATCAACATAATGATGTAGTTGTTTATATTTTTAGCTTCATTGCAAGTGTATGACATTTGGTATAGATGTAAACAATGGTAATTAAGTGCTTTTCCTAAAAATGAGAAAGAAAATACAGGGTATTAAAACAGTATGAACTACAAATAAAGTCAGTATGTGAGGCTAAATAGATGTGTTTTAGTCTGAATTAGGTAAGACACAAAGAATGGCCTTCTCAGCTGCCATAGTTGGAACTCTTGCGTCATCAGAACAGTGTGTTCAACGCATCACCGTTTCTGTTTAAAAAACGTTGTGCAACGTTTTGTCGGGGCTGAACGCAGCCCAGGTTAGCCAGGAAGCGTGAGTTACTATAGCGATGAACACTGCTAAAAGCCAAACCAATTTCATGGTTCCTAAAACACAGGGTTGGGACTAGTCTCGCGTAGCCAGACCTTCAGACTGACGGCTGAAGGTCTGGAATTCATAGCAGCTTTCTTTGGCCAAGGCCCGCCCACAAGGCCGTTTGACCGACATGTCAAACAACCAATTACAGTTCGTTTCGTTCAGCGTCACGTTTCGGGGCGTGGAAATCTCCCCACAACAACAGACCGGCGTGCAACAAGTCAGTCAGCATAGAAAATCAAAGAAGGAGAAGAAAACTTCAAGAGTCTATGCCGTGAACCTCGCATACTTTTGAGAATCCTACGTTTAGCTGATCTTGATAAATGCTCATTGTCACTCATGTAAACACAACGTTAGTTTTTCTTCCGCAATCACACGTCTGCGCTTTGTTTCCCGGCGGACCGAAAATAAACGCGACACTCGCGCCCCCCGGAAATCCGATAAAATTCAACCAATCAGATGATGACTTCGACATTCCTGAAGTGTTTCCAGTTAAGTGTACCATATGCATCAGACGTTTAGCCAACGTTCCGTGGGTGTGACGTCTGAGGCTGAGACTAAGGTTGGCACAAACTACACTGAAATACACCTGGCTAGCCTAAACCGGCTTCAGGCCCCAGGTGATTTAGTTTACAGCATCATAATGTAAAATAATTTACTAATCTTATCTCTGACCAAAAATGGTTATTTGTTATTAAAATATTATTTACCCCAACAATACTTTTGTGTCATAGATAAAACCTTAATAATTATTAGTCACACACACACACACACAGATATCAAGAATCGGCATATGAATCTTAACAATAGTGACATGCTTCATGCCGCAATGCATTCTGATAGCTACCATAGTATAAAACTCAAGTTCCCAGCATGCATTGCAGCATGAAGCATGTCACTATTGTTGAGATTCATATGCTGATTCTTGATGTCTGTTTTTTTCTATTAAACCATTGTATTAAAAAAAAAAGTCTTATATGTGGCAAGAAAGGTCAAAATCAACTTTTACTAACAAATTATCACTTTTGATCAATATGATGAGATCAGTGAATATTTTGCTGGGGATTTTGCTGTGTAGATCAGTGGGAAAACCCTATACTGGACACTGGCCATTAATATAACACGAGTATTGTTGATCCCTAAAATGTTAAGCCGGTGACGCAGATGCAAATAAGGACTGTAATGACATCATAAATAATCTCTCATGCTCAGATAACAGAAAATAGATTTTCATGATAACAACCCAGCTAACATAATTTTGTTATAAGAACGTTCTCCAAATATTCAGTGTTGGTTCTGGGAACGTGAAAAATGGCCAGTTTTCTTGACGTTAGAGGAACGTGTTTTAAAAGGTATAATGTTCCTCAAACGTTCTTTAAACTTAATTTTAGATTAAAAATTCAATATGATAGTAATGTTGATTTCTAACATTCCAAGAACAAAAAAATGTCCAGTTTCCTGAATGTTACTATAGTACTAACTGTTTGGTAGCTCAGTATTTATTCCAGAATTTGCTAGTTCAAATAGTTTGGACTGCAGAACCAAATGTGTCACTTGGGTGGAGCTTGAGCTTGACCTTGTCCAGCTCCATCTCTGCAAGATCTTAGCCTAATTTAGATTTAGGGAGAGGGTTAGGGTGTGGTTGGACCTTATACCTCCACTGGTTAGGTCCAGAGAGGAGGAGCTGGATGTCAAGCTCCACCCAGAGGCTCTGCAGACTCTCTTACCGGGGCAGAACTGGGGCGGGGCTTGCCGGGCTATCACTCCCCTCAGAAATCTGCATTGCACTGGCATATATTGTGAACTAATGTTGTCAAAATTACAGACTTCGGTACCAAGTTGGTACTGAAACTTTAAAAATGTGACAATATCAGCATTTCCCTATATATAGAATCATATAGAATGAACTTGACAACACTATAGTGAACATTTTCTACAATGAAACAGGTCAAATTAAATTAGAATATAAATAAATCAGTATCAAATTACCGAAATATATAAAGCATCTACATTCCAGAAAGATTAACAAAAAGATTAATAAATAAATAAATAAATGACTAATCAATAGCCTGTAGATTGTGTGTTTGTTTTACACCCAGTTCCCCGTAACCTGGTTAATTGTTCTGAGAATCGACATGGCTTTGTTTTCCTCTCCTGAATTTTTCCTCAACTTGTAACATTCTAAATTAATATTCAAAGACAATAAATACTAAAATAGCATTGTGTATGTAAAGCCTGCAAATCAACATTAGAGCGCCACCCCCAGGCTGAATCATGCAAGGACACTAGACCTCTGCCAAAAGTGTTCAGCATTTGTTCAGTCATTTGAATATAAAACTACTAGCAGTTAATCATAGGTTAGTCGTACAGCCTACGATACGACCCAGAATCTGCCGCACTTACATTTATGGTCAGGAGCCGCTGCTGGTGCTAATGATGTTATTCCATGTAATGTTAAAGAAGAGAACTAGAAATAACACTTCTTTTTTTTTCTTTACACACAGAGGCACATATCTTCATTTGTAAAGGAGAGTGTGTGGATTGGATTGTCTGATATTGAGATTGAGGGCAACATGAAATGGGTGGATAATTCACCACTGAATCAAGGGTAAGTGATAAAACACTCACAGAAATTCACTGCGTTCAGTGAGCATTTGTTTGTAAATGCATCTTTAGGGCCCGAGCACCGATGGTGAGAGGACCCTATTGTTTTTGCTCCGTTTATTCTTCTTCTTCTTTTTCTTCTCCAAAATGAATAGCTTTTTAGAGGGCCTAAACATGCTCGAAAACTCATGATACTTTGCATACGCTTCAGATGGTGAAAATGTACGTGTGATGTGGGTTTCAGAATTGGGTGGGGCAAAATGGCTTAATCCCCCAAAACCCCCACCCTCCACCCCCCACTTTATTGCCTCGGCTCTAGGTTTCACGTACAGGCATGAAATTCGGTACATACATGTAATGACCCAGACCCAATACCTACAAAAAAGTCTCTTGGATAGTCCTAAACTAGTCTGCCATTTTGAATTTCCCCTCTGATTTTTGTGCAGTTTTTGCCATTTTCAGGCTTCGTACTTTAACAAACTCCTCCTACAGTTTTGATATGATCCTCTTCAAATGTGTCCTGTCCTGTCCTGATGACCATGCTCATATTCAGTAATTCAGTAGTTATAGTAATAGCGTCACCTGCTGGTAGCAGGAAGTGTGGCAAAAACAAATGACTTTAACATAGTCCTCCTGTATTTACATTCTGCCCACTGTGCTCTGTTTTCCTAAAGCCGCCGTGTGTTGGTGGCATGGGTGCGAAAGGCCCTTTTCATCGCTGCTTGCATTTTAGAGCTGTACAAGAACTGAATCTGATCCATTTTTTTATTCAGGTTTTGGTCCAGCGGTGAGCCGAATAGCTTTCATGGCACAAATGAGGACTGTGTTGAACTGAATCCTGCAAGAGACCCTTTAAAGAACTGGAATGATCTCTCATGTTCAGATACGAAGAAATGGGTTTGTGAGATTTGACATCTATTCCTTCCTCTTTATGATATTTAATAAGGCTTTGACCCATATTTTTCAGCTTAATTTTGTTTTCTTTTTTTCTTACATTTTTGGTGAAGGTTCATGTAATCAAAACTAATGTTTTAAAATAATTAAGATTTTGTGGTTTAATTTGTTTTGTTTATTTAGTCAATTTTATGTGTTTTCTATATTAATGATTTATCATTTTATGTAGTCATTGTTAGGTTCCTGTATTCTACTTTTATCATATGCAAACTGATGCTGTGCAGATCTGATTTAATTGTAGTAATTAATAGAAATCATGAGCGGAAGAAAAATGTAAAATTGTTGTTCACAACATTCATAGTCCTTCGGATGAGACGTTATAAACCGAGGTCCTGACTCTCTGTGGTCAACATGACATCATGACTTTGCGTAAACATACACGCCACTTTCAATTCAAGTGGCGTGTTATCTATACGCATTTTGAGGTATCCGCGTGTATGTCCACGCCGAAATCTTTTGCGTGTATGTCTACGCCATTAAATGTCCGAGTGATTCCGCGTGTATGTGTACGCCGTTAAATGTCCGAGCGAAACGAAGCAAAATCTATATCTACATCTGTGGAGCGATATTTCTTTTCCTAGGATGGTAGGAGAAGACTCATAAATGGTATTAACCCCAGTGACGGGTAGGTTTAGGGACGGGGTTGGGGTAGGTCATATATTTATATATACATAATACAGTAATATAACGTTAAGTCAAAGGCGTTGATAAACACGCTGAAAAGCGATTATGCGTGTTGATAGCACGCCAAAAATGAAAATACGAATTGGCGTGTCATACATACGCCATTTCATGAGATCAGTCTGCTGTGGTCATTAGAAATCCCAATTTGCCCCTTGGCCTCTGTCCATCATCGTGGCCTTCTAATAATCCCTATACTGGTTGGCTTCATCACTGTCTACTCTCCACCAGTAAGCTGGTGTGTGTGTGTGTGTGTGTGTGTGGTGGGCGTGTGTGTGTGGTGGGCGTTCTGGCGTCACATCATCCAGGTGGAGATTCCCCCCTTCTATGTAAAGCGCTTTGAGTGCAGAGAAAAGCGCTATATAAATGTAATGAATTATTATTATTATTATAGTCTATTATTGTGATTTTGACAGTATATCTGTTTTTTGTTTTTTTCATTTGTTATTCTCTTTGAATAAAATGGTCAGTTGCCATTACATGTGTTTTCATAAGATCCTTGTGTCAAACAAACTTCCAACTCCAGTTTGCAATGCACGACACAACACCTGTTTTTGAGCAACGGAAGGTGTCTATGTTCAGGAGAGGCTGAAAAGTTTCTTAACATGATGAAATGACATGATGAGCATATTAATTTTGACATTAATGATGACATAATTTTCATTTTTCTGCGAACTATTAGCCTGGTCAAAACCAGACCATTCTCAGTTGTAACTGAGACAAATCATAGACAAATCATTTCCAGAGGGGCGTCACCAACGGACGCCGCGGATAGACCTAAACCCAATCAGAGCGATGAAGGAGATGACGTATGCAGAGCGGCAGAGAAAAGAGTGTTGTTCTTTGCTCGGTTTTTAACAAAAAGGAAACGTTCAAATCGCTTAAAACAGACGCGATAGCTGATTGGAATGAGTGATGTTCGACGGCGGCATCCATCTTTGTAATGTAGGCTACAAAATCTGCTTCAAAATCCCAGCGCTGTCGTCATCGTGTAAAGCTCGCCCCAACGTTTCTGATTGGTGCCTCGATTTCGACGGATTGGAAATGGGCTTGAATGAGCTCTTTGCCAGACTAACTTTCAGAGCAAATCTAAATTTGCCGGAAGTTGTCTGGGTTTTCCCAGGCTAGCGAACTATCCCTTTAAGTGCTGAGTGTTACGTTCCACGCGTTTTGTGTTTGTTTTCATTGTCCTGTGCACGCTAGTGTACTTTGCAGGTGTTGGCTGTTGTGCTCATTATCTTCTCTGTCTCTAGCTCCCTCTCTCTGCTCGCAGGTTGCTGTGATTGGCTGAGGCGGACGTCAGTCATCATCAGTCGCATACTCCTCTTTTTTCTGCCAATAACCAGTTCAGGGCTTGTCTGTTTTGCCATGTCATTTTACCAGTGTATTTTAGTAGCTGGCCTAGAGCTTCAAGTGCTTGATCTGTATGGTTAATGAATCTCTGCTAAATATTGTAATATATGTAATTAATCCACTCCATATTCTTATTTGGCGTTATCCATACAAATATTGTCTCAAGTCCTGATGTTACCTCATCTCTAGAATTAAACCCATATGGTATCCCTCTTGGCTGTAACCTGTCTATAATAACCAACATGTATCTTTTTCCTACTAATTTGTTCATGTCTACAAAATCCATCACTAAATGCTTAAAAGGTCCTTCTGGAATTGGAATAAAGCCTATTGGGGTTGCTGTTCCTTTTCTGAAATGATTCTTTGCACAAATTTCACATTCATTTCAAAATTCATCTACCCTTATTTGTAAGTATGGGGACCTCTTTTATCTTCCTTAGGGTGCTTTCACACCTGCCTCATTTAGTTCGGTTGAAGCGCACTAGAGTTCGTTTTCCCCGTTGGTGCGGTTCGTTTGGGCAGGTGTGAAAGCAGCAATCGCACTCGGGTGCGCACCAAAAGCGGACCGAACAAGCATTCGAGGAGGTCTTGGTACGCTTTCAAACGAACTCTGGAGCGGTTTGTTTGTGGTGAGAATGTGATCTGACCTCGAACAGACCCAACTGCCAAATAACTGCGCATTTTTGGACTAAATCAGCTGCCGTAGTAAAACAAAATGATTATTTATGTAGCTGATAGCGCTCCATTTAAGCCATGACTGACTTACTGCGTTCTGCACTCTCACTAAAACACTCATCATAAACACTGAAGTTGTCCGCACTGCACAGTTAATCTCTTTTTTATATTGCGTCCACACTTTGTTGTTTATGAGGGGATTTGCGAAAGGATAAAGCTGGTGCTGATTCTGAACATACATTGTGAGTGAATTCTCCGCATTTCAGCCGGATTTTGCTCGATCCTCTTTGTTTACTTCCAGGACTTCTGTTGGATTTTTCACGCATGTGAATTCTGACCAATCGAAGTGCAGTTATGGAAATATGTTCAAGACATATCTGGCCAACGAGTAATATGGATGTTGTCACGTGACTATATTTTGGTTAGTTTCATCAACTCATCAACTGATTCGGACCAGAGCAATCAGTGTGGCGTGAAAAGGAACCAAAACCCCTGAAAAATACTACAAAGTATATTTTTTCTCCCTTGGTCCGGACCAAATGAACCGAACTACAGATGTGAAAGCACCCTTAGGCTGCATTTACACTGCAGGTCTTGATGCCCAAATCCGATTTTCTGACTATATCCGATTTTTTTGACGACCCGCTTACATCCTCTTTTAAAAGTGACCCGTATCCGATTTTTGCATTTACACTATACACTGCTAAAACTACCAAATGTAGACGTTCTGACCCGGAAAAGGAAGTAAAACAGCACGAAATACAATGGATGCAGATGCGAATAAAATTATCCAGTGTTTTGCTTTCCACAATATTTTTAAAAGTCATTAAGCTTTTTATCTTACGGTGGCACTGTAGCCACGAGCGCTTACAACCGTGCCTCCCCATATCTCGTGACATGTCTTCAAACACGGATTTATTTCTGTAACAACCCTGCATTTCTGCCTGCACTGTCTCTTCGCCCCAAACACTCAAAAGACACGAAACCTCCGCATTGCTCCACTGTGTGCATCCTTCGTCCTCCATCGCGCCTATAATAAGTCATGTGATCTCAGTTGGTGGTGTCCACCTGAGTTGACGTCACTTTTTTATTGACGTACGACTCGCATTTACTGGGGAATATCCCATTTGTCTGCTTACATGGCACACGCAAATGCACGTATCCGATTCATATCCGATTTATTACCACATATGAGTGAGGCCTGAATCCCATCTGAGAAAATCGGAATCCATGCGGTTTTTTCCTGCTTACACGTTCATGGGTCATATCCGATCTGTGCCACATGAGAGGAAAAAATCGGATTTGGGTCACTTGAACCATGCAGTGTAAATGGGGCCTTAGAATCTCCCCCCTTTGCGCAGGGATCCAATCCGTGCGCATCTGGAATTAGAATGTTAAGCAATGGGGTGGAAACTATCATGAGGCCTTCATGTGATCTCCCTTTGTTGTTTGCATCTCTTGTCGCCCCCCTTTGCTGCCATACATATATCTCAGGTGGTGTTGCTCTGGACTGCATTTGGGCAATACTTTCTGCAGTGGGGAGAGGCTGAATCAGGACTGAGGGTGCCATTACAGCTAATTGGCATCCGGAGGCTTGTTTGGCATGCATGTAAGCCGCATTGCTGCCTTTGATGACAAAGTCATTACCTTTCTTATTAGTGGTGCAAGGGATCATCATTGATCCGTGATCCGTTCGGATCAATATCTTCGGTTCGGCACACACGTGATCCGCGGATTGATTTATGAAAAAAAAAATTTGTACGCATGTTCAGTCCACACACATCTCCACATCGTGGTCATGGTGAGAGTAGGAACGGAGGAGCTTGAACGCCCCGCGCCATTTAAATCCCCATGTATGGGAGCATTTTGGCTTCCCTGTCAAATATAATGATGAAGGAAAGAGGTTGGATAAAACCGTGACGGTGTGTGTAGTAGGGTGGCCACACGTCCAGATTTTGACCGGACAGTCCAAAGTTGCGCTGAATTGACCTAAAAAAATTAACTTATAAAAATCCTGCATATTGATAGCGGATCCCTGATGCCCGCAAATTAGTTAAAATCTCCCGGAATCTAGAGCGCGCATGCGAGACGGAACATACTGCGCGCATAACATACATAGCGCGCGAACGGCAGAGAGGGAGAGAGAAAGAGCCCTTGCGTGTGCATGTAAGACAGAGAGCATCCTGATTGGCCTGTTTCCAGATCAATCCTGATTGGCCAGTGATTCTGCTTGTTATCATCAGGTGTCTTCAATAATGCTCAATCATCACTCAATCAATAACTTAAATAGCACATTAACTTTAACACTCTTCAGTGTTAATTTAACAATCAAATTTTAACACTTTAACACTCTTGAGTTTTTGCTGTGTAGTAACATTCAGCAAACTGGACATTTTTCACGTTCCCAGAACCAACACTGAATATTTGGAGAACGTTCTTATAACAAAATTCTGTTAGCTGGGTTGGACCTTGAACCGTTTGGGTCCCATTGAAGTCCATTATATGGAGAAAAATCCTGGAATGTTTTCATCAAAAACCTTAAAGGGATAGTTCACTTTGAAATTAATTTTTGGTATGTTTTAGCTTACCTCAAGGGCATCCAATATGTAGGTGTCTTTGTTTCAATATGATTTAATGACTGAATGCAGACCGAAGCGCCAGCGCCCTCAGATCACTTGGACGTGGCTGTGGTTACAAGAGGTAAAAACGATATAAATACTGTTCGTTTTCTCACACAAACCGCTCGTTTCGTGTCTTAGGCCATCAATGTGTACTTACATTTACGAGTCATTAAATCATGTTTAATTTGGACTTCTCTGTGCATGCTCTTTGAGGAAGTGACCATAGACCTGCATTATATGACTGACAGACAAGAACGGTTTGACCTAAAAATATCAAAATTGAAACTACTGCGGAAACAAAGACACCTACATCTTGGATTTTTAGGGTTTTAGGGAGGTGTTGGGTGTTTGTAATGTTGTATGGTTTTCTAATGGACCTTGAGTCTGACAATAAAGTTAAATTGAATTGAATTGATAGTGAAAATGGTAGAACGGTGACATCTACTGAGAAAAGTAAAATGTGAATTTCCTGTTGTCACTCACTTGTGTTTAATAACAGGAAGTCCTCGTCTCACAATCTCTATTTCCCATCATCCTCTCTGTCCCTGAACACAACAGCGATGTAAATCATCATTCACTTCCAGTTTATAGTCATCAACACACAGGTCCAGTTCGGCCTGTTTTATTGTGTTTGAGTCAGTTTATGTGATCACAGATTCCTCTTGTTGGACGTTGTAGATGCTAACTTCATCACAGGGAAAACTCCACAACGCTTTGACTATAGGAGGTTGAATATGCAATATATATTCCATCATGCAGTAGTATAAGCATACAGAGAGATTTAGAGTGAGAATGAAATCTAGATTTATCTGTGTCTGAACTAATAAAAACCACTTCCTGGGTTGGTACTATTTAAAAACACGGCACACATCTTAAAGACCACACCTCATCTGTGAACACATACTGTACTTTACTATACTTTACAGTTAGACTGTAACTTTGAGAAAATAATGGAATCAGGGACCTTTTATGTATGCAGAAATATTAATAATAGATCGAGACCTCCAACACAGAGTCGCAGCAAGGATGAAGGAAATGATCGAAAGCAAAGTAAGCAGAAGCAGTTTCGTTTTACGCAGAGACGATGTCGCTAATGTTTAAGCGGATGAGAAATGTTTCGTAAAGTTTCGATCATTCTTTTAAAAACTGTAATTGTTTCTGATTTTATATGAAATGTTCCATATTTAAGCAAATAGGAATTCCCAATGTTCGTCATTATAAAAGAACATTTTTTTTTTAAAACAATCATTTATCTAACAAAAACGCAATTGCTTACAAAGGTTGATTTGAAATGTTATCTAATAATATGGCGTTAAATGATATCTGTGTGTTTTGTCTCTGTTTGTCAGGAGGAAGCAGGTGTTTGGTGTTGATGACAGTGTGTCTCGGGCTCATGTGTGTTCTTCTGCTGGTCTTCATCACACTGTACATCACCATCACAGCTGAGAGAGACCTGTTAAAGAGTTACAAGAACACAGTTGAAGAGTTCAATCACACTATCAACAGCTTATAGGACAAGAACACTGATCTAATGACTGTAAAAGACCAACTGAAGAACAACTTCAGCTCTTTGAGTCGGAAGAAACTGGAGTTAGAGACTGAACTAAGGCAGTTATCTAAACAAGGTTTGTATAAATGTTTTTATTTGGGTTTTTTTGCACTTTACAACACAAATAATGAGCAAAGTGTTTGTGTTTATTGAAAGGAAATGCCATTAAAACTAAAGAAGTCTGAAGTATCCCAGACTGCAATAATTAATTGTATTATGCTGTTATTGAATGCCTTTGAATTTTTTGTTGTTGAATTGTTTTCTCTTTAAATGGCCAATATAATGTAAATATAATAAAATAGTCAATAACAATATTACCATATGATATATTTTTTTTAATTTCATATTGCGTTTTTACATTTACTTCGGTGTACCTGATGTGTGATTATGGCGAGAGATTTCCTCCAGCCCAGCAGAATGCAGCAGAGAGACAGTTTAATCCATTAAGTAATCATCAGAGAGAAAGAGAAACCCCAGATCCAACAATTTATTTTATTTTATTTTTATAGACGTACAGTACTTGTGTTCAAGTCCAAGCACTAACATTTACAAGAAAGTTAATTTGACAATAATATAATTCTATTTCTAAACAATAACTGTAATTTGTACTGTTTTCAGAGAATTGTGTGATCAATTACAAATGTAGAATACCAAAAGGCATTTCCACGCCTTTAATAAGCTCCCGCTGGAAGATCAACACCACTTGAACAACAGTCGTTCCAACCGAAACTGAAAGTGAGCAACGACACCACGAAGTGCCTCTCTCAGGACTGTTAGTGAAGGGTATAGTAACATTCACGAAACTGGACATTTTTATATTCTTGGAATGTTAGAAATCAACATTACTATCGTGTTGAATTTTTTATTGAAAAATAAGTTTAAAGAATGTTTGAGAAACATTATACCTTTTAAAACACGTTCCTCTAACGTCAAGAAAACTGGACGTTTTTCACGTTCCCAGAACCAACACTGAATATTTGGAGAACGTTCTTATAACAAAATTCTGTTAGCTGGGATAATGCTCTCAAAACATTCATAGTACAATATTTCATAACAATAGCTGGGATGAGCTTATATTGTGGCCATAGTTTGAGCACACAGTGAGAGCGCTGTGAGGTTACACTTTTACATCATAAGAACTCTTTTCTTTTGAAGATTCCTGACGTTCACTGATCACTGTGAGATCAACGTGTTGACTGGGTAGATTAACTGATTTTATTTTCCCATTTATATTATTTTATTGTTTTATGGAAACACTTTAATCACTACATTTCTTGGTGTGTCTTTGAAACATTCTCTTTGAATAAAATGGTCAATTGTCATTATCTCAGCATTTTGTTTTTATTTCACATTTGTTTATTGCTCTATGGCTGTATTTGCTCCAGTCCAGCAGGGGCAGCAGAGAGCAGGTTTATCAGACTGAAGTGATCAGAGAGGAACAGAAACATCAGATTCAGGCACTTTCTGCTGTTTCTGCATCATTAATACAAAGCTCCAGTTTGGCCTGTTTAAGTGTGTTTGAGTTTATTTGAGTGATCACAGATTCCTCTTGTTGGCTTTTGAAGCGGAGAACATGAGGTTGAATATACAATACACAAACACAGTAGTTTGAGTCTGCAGTGAGGTTTTAAGTTGGACTGCAAGTCTTTATACTTGTCGGAGGCCAGTGTGAAATCATTTCCTGTTTAGGGTTAACACTATTTTACAAACCATACTTATCATTCTGAGGACCACACCTCATCTGTGAAGACGTACTGTCAGACACAGCGAATAATGGGTTCAGAGGACATTTATCAAAATGTTGAACGCAGAGATATTGAGGACACATTTGGACCTCCAACACAGAGTAACGGCCAGGATGAAGGAAAAGATGAAAAGCGCAGTAAGCAGAAAATTACTTTAAACCAGAAATGATGTCACAGATGATGTTGTCAATGGTGTCGCTGTGTTAGAGGAAATAAGAACTGTTACATACCATTTCAAATATACAATTTCTAAGAACAACATGTCAGTGTTTCTGCTTTTATATTTAATAAGTTAACATGAAATAATTTTTGTATTGTTTTTCAGTATTCCTTGGATATTTTATCATATTGCAATGTTTGTCTATTTACTCTATTATCTACAGACAATTAACCAAAAAGGTTGATTTGAAACATAATCTCTAATAATATGGAGTGAATGGTTGTTAACTGATATGTGTGTGTGTTGTCTCTGTTTGTCAGGAGTAAGCAGGTGTTTGGTGTTGATGACAGTGTGTCTCGGGCTCATGTGTGTTCTTCTGCTGGTCTTCATCACACTGTACATCACCATCACAGCAGAGAGAGACCTGTTAAAGAGTTACAAGAACACAGTTGAAGAGTTCAATCACACTATCAACAGCTTACAGGACAATTACACTGATCTAATGACTGAAAAAGACCAACTGAAGAACAACTTCAGCTCTTTGAGTCAGAAGAAAAGTTAGAGACCAGAGTCGAGTCTTTGAGTGAGGAACTAAAGAAGGAAAAATCTAAACAAGGTCAGTATGAATATGTTTTTAAGTAGACCCCCCCCCCCCCCCCATTTTTTTCTATATCTTCATCCATTTAAAAAAAAGTGTGTTTCTGTTAGGAAATCTGTGTGGTCCTGGTTGTTTGTTCATATCCAGTGAGTTGAAGAGCTGGTCTGAGAGCAGGAAATACTGCAGAGATCGAGGAGCTGATCTGGTCATTATCAACACTGAAGAGAAGCAGGTGAGATTGTGTGAGTGAGTGTTAGTTAATGAGAGGAATCACTTATTCCTGTTTTTATTCACACACAGAGGTTCATAACTTCATTCATCAAGGAGAGTGTGGATTGGTATGTCTGACACTGAGACTGAGGGGATCATGAAATGGGTGGATAATTCACCACTGAAACAAGGGTAAGTGATAAAACACTGTCTGTGGATGTATTTTAAACATGAGGCTTCCTCAAACACCACACCCTAAAGATTTTTTTTTTTTTTTTTAGAAAAAACTGAAATCTTCTCTATCGTATTTAAAAAAAATTTTCACTTTTCACTATTATTCAGGTTTTGGTATGAAGAAGAGCCAAATAATGCCGGTGGAGGCGAGGACTGTGTTGAACTGATGCCTTCGAATCCCATCCAGAACTGGAATGATCTCCCATGCTCTGAGAAGAGGAAAGGGGTTTGTGAGAAATAGGGTTCATCCCGCCTTCTCATGTTTTTAATTGTATTTTTATGGAATCATCACTCTTATTATTGATTTTTGATTAAGGTTCCTGTCTTTTAAACAGTCTGCTACAGTAATTAGTAACTGCTTTCATGATATCAGTTTCATTCTATACTAGGCTATTTTGTAACATACAAAACCATAAATGGAAATCCACGTAATAGAAAAATGGACAACTGTCAAAAAAAAAAAAAAAAGTATTACTGTAATAAACACCAGGAGGGTGAACTGGGTAATCTGGGACTAGTGTGTCCATCACAAGCAGATTTATGCCAACATAACCTTCTTCTGGCTGTTATTATTGTTACGATCTACTCCCAGTCTACGGTTGGGAGACGGTAACAAACTTAAATAAATAAAAAAGAATGTAAACATAAGCGTGGAGGGTTCCCTTCAGTCCTCTGCCCCAGAAATGTGAGCCAACACTTGATGCAAAAGTCAAATTATTTATTGTATTTAAACTAAGAAAATGGAAGCTTTCAATCTTCAGGAGAAGGTCAGACCAAAACAACAAACAAAAGAGGAAGCTTACTATTGGAAGGAAAACTAAATGACCACACAGGTAAAAGAAAATAAATAAACAACATATGCTTCCCTCCACTCTGACTAACCAAAAACAAGGATTAATATATAAAAAGAAAAAGGTGACTCAATCTCCCTACTGCTGTCCAAAACAACCTAACAAAAAGTTGATATACAATACCTTTTAGTTACCAAACAAACTTATAAAGAAAAAAAAAAAAAAAGAGAGATTGCTTTATCACACCAAAAACAAGCTCAACTGTACCACACGGGGACAACACACCAGTTTCACAATAGTTACACAAGTCTGGTGCAGGGGAGAAGTGAACCTCCTCTAACAGTGTTTACCCTGCTCTCTTAGGCCTTGTCCACACGGACACGGGTATTTTTATAACCGGAGTTTTTCCTACAGCGTTTTAAAAAAAAATCCCGTCCACACATGCTCGGTCTCCGTCTAAATGAAAACGCAAAAACACGCTATCAAGCGTGGTCAAGAGCATGCCACGCCAGCAGGCGGCGATATAACCCTTAACCCTATAGCCACGTTGGCCAATCAGAAGCGGAAATCTGACGTCAAACACAGCTGATAACGGCGCACACTCTGACGTCGCAAGGCAAAACCCCCGGTTTCACTGTCTACACGACAACACTGTAACCGGCGTTTCTGAAAATCCTCACCCTGGCAGGGGTTTTCAAAAATGTTCGGTTTCAGTGCGTTTCCGTGTGGACGAACGGCCGAACCGCGTAAAAAAAGTCACGGTTATAAAAAATACCCGTGTCCGTGTGGACAGGGCCTTATAGTGTAGCTCTGCAACTCTCCTTATGAGCCTCAGGTGTGGCTAATTAGCTGCAAGGCAATAATAGTGAGGGAGAGACTGACAGAGCATAACAAATACAACAATTTAACAAAGTAAAATACATATCAAAAACACTTTTTATATAATACGTCCCTAGGACGTAACATTATGTATCTCATTTGCCGGTCTGAAGTGTTGAGGTGAAAATCACAGTAAAATATAGAAGCTTAAAGTCTCCCAGATTGCTCTGATTCATCAGTTATTCTGATATTGATTGTGTGTGAAACTGCTTTTGAGTTGTATTGCTTTCACTTTGAATAAAATGGTCAATAACCATTATCACCAGTGAACTGTATTTTTGTTTTTATTTCATATTTCATTCTTGTGTATCTGTTTATAGCACTGTGGCTGTATTTGCTCCAGTCCAGCAGGCGCAGCAGAGAGCAGGTTTATCAGACTGAAGTGATCAGAGAGGAACAGAAACATCAGATTCAGGCCAAGGGGGTAATCCACCAGCCGGAAACTGAAGTCTCCCCGGGGGCCGCCATTGGCTAACAAGCCTTCACCTGCTGTTAGCATCCCATTGACTCCCATTCATTTTTGCGTCACTTTGACAGCAAATAACTTTACATCTGAGACGTTTAAAGACTCCATTTGTCCATTGTTTATTTCTAAAGAAACACGACAATGTATAAAAGGCTCCATTACCTTGTATCTTACGTTATGGCCCCGTAGAAGCCGTTTTTGTAAAAATAGGCTAACGATTGCATCATAACACGCGACTCTCTGTCGCCAGTGGTGGACAGTAATGAAGTAAATGTAATTCGTTACTGTACTTAAGTAGCTTTTTTGCGTATCTGTACTTTACTCAAGTATTTGAATTTTGGGAGACTTTTACTTTAACTCCACTACATTTCAAAGTCAAATATCTGAATTTTTACTCAACTGCATTTTCAAAATCAGTCGTTCCTTTTTATTTATGAGTGGATAAAAACGTAACTGGTCAAACGAGCCACCAATCACTACTAAGCGCGAACCAGAGCCGTTAAATATGAGAGTTGCGAACATAGATGGTTGTGACAGTGATCTCGCCGCCGGGCTGTCACGTTATTCATGTAGCTCTCAATAGTTCCAAACAAATCGCGTTTTTGACCCTCAAAAAGGTACATATATGTACCTTGGGGGATAGAAATGGACTCCTACTGTACCCCTATTTCTGACAGTGTAATTTCCTTTTCCTAATTGAACATTCTGTTTGTCACCATTGTTGAGATTCATACACTGAATCTTGATGTCTGTATATGCCTAAAAATAGATTTTTTTTTCAGAACAACTTTTAAGATATCATTTGGTTTATATTGAAAAAATCTGGATCTAATGTTATAGAATCACTGTGATGCTGTTATGATCATTAAACATTTAAGTCAGAGAGTAGGCTCTAAATGAGTTCAGTGATTCAGGTCAAATGATGATTATGTATACACATGATCTACAACATCTGATCACCTTTTCTCTTTGCTCATCCAGCTGTTAAAACAGCCAACCAAAATCTTAAGTTAAACATTTAAAGGTCAACTGCCCAACTAAAGCAAACACTGATCACCATAACGGTGACTAAAATATAGATTTTCTCCTTCAGTGATTCTGCTAGTTAACATCAGGTGTCTTCAATAATGGTCAATCATCACTAAATTATTCACTTAATTATCTCATTAACTTTAACACTCTAGAATCTGGATCCAAATAAACTCACAGGAGAGTTCTTTTAACGCTGGAGTTGTTGCTGTGGGTGGAATAAAAATATGACAGGACTTTTACTTTCTGACCCCTGGACTTTCCACCTCTGCTTGTTGGCTTTTGAAGCTGATAACATGTGGGTGAACGTCCAATACACAAACACAGTAGTATGAGTCTGCAGGGAGTTTTTAAGTTGGACAAGTCTTTGCAAGTCTTTATTCTTGTCGAAGGGCAAGGCCAGTGTGAAATGAAATCACTTTCTGTTTAGGGTTAGCACTATTTTCTGTTTCTATTTACTTGTACTAGCAATTACAGGTGTTTCTCTTATACCGTAAAACTTCAAATAATAGCCAAGTCCCAAATAGACGCCTGTTTGGATAAATAAAGGCCGGTTTCAAATAGAGGCCTGGTCTGTTTTTTTTAGATTCGGGTTGTATTTAATCTTCTAAAACCCGTCAGATCGTCTGTTTAAGCCAGTTCTAGTGCAGAGGAGCGACGAGGAAGAGGAGAGGGAGAAGTGGAGGAGAGCGACGAGGAGGAGGAGAGGGAGAATTGGAGGAGTGATGAGGAGGAGGAGAGGGAGAAGTGGAGGAGCGACGAGGAGGAGGAGAGGGAGAAGTGAAGGAGAGCGACGAGGAGGAGGAGAGGGAGAAGTGATGGAGAGTGACGAGGAGGAGAGGGAGAAGTGGAGGAGCGACGAGGTGGAAGAGAGGGTGAAGTAAAGGAGAGCGACAAGGAGGAGGAGAAGGAGAAGTGGAGGAGCGACGAGGAGGAGAAGAGATAGAAGTGGGGGAGCGACGAGGAGATTGATGAGGAGGAGAGGGAGAAGTGGAGGAGCGACGAGGAGGAGGAGAGGGAGAAGGGGAGGAGAGCGAGGAGGAGGAGAGGGAGTAGTGGCGATGAGGAGGAGAGGGAAATGTGGAGGAGCGACGAGGAGAGGGAGAAGTGGAGGAGAGCGACGAGGAGGAGGAGGGGAGAAGTGGAGGAGAGCGACGAGGAGGAGGAGAGGGAGAAGTGGAGGAGCGAGAAGGAGGAGAGGGAGAAGTGGAGGAGAGCGACAAGGAGGAGGAGGGGAGAAGTGGAGGAAACCGACGAGGAGGAGGTGAGGGAGAAGTGGAGGAGCGAGGAGGAGGAGAGGGAGAAATGGAGGAGAGCGAGGAGGAGAGGGAGAAGTGGAGGAGCGAGGAGGAGGAGAGGGAGAAGTGGAGGAGAGCGGAGAGGGATAATTGGAGGAGAGCGACAAGGAGGAGGAGAGGGAGAAGTGGAGGAGCGACGAGGAGGAGGAGAGGGAGAAGTGGAGGAGAGCTACGAGGAGGGGGAGAGGGAGAAGTGGAGGAGAGCGGAGAGCGAGAAGTGGAGGAGAGCGAGGAGGAGGAGGAGAGGGAGAAGTGGAGGAGAGCGGAGAGGGAGAAGTGGAGGAGAGCGAGGAGGAAGGGGAGAGGGAGAAGTGGAGGAGAGTGACGAGGAGGAGGAGAGGGAGAAGTGGAGGAGAGCGGAGAGGAGGAGGAGAGGGAGAAGTGGAGGAAAGTGACGAGGAGGAGGAGAGGGAGAAGTGGAGGAGGAGAGGGAGAAGTGGAGGAGAGCGGAGAGGGAGAAGTGGAGGAGAGCGGAGAGGGAGAAGTGGAGGAGAGCGACGAGGAGGAGGAGAGGGAGAAGTGGAGGAGAGCGGAGAGGAGGAGGAGAGGGAGAAGTGGAGGAGAGCAGAGAGGGAGAAGTGGAGGAGAGCGACGAGGAGGAGGAGAGGGAGAAGTGGAGGAGCCCGACGAGGAGGAGGAGAGGGAGAAGTGGAGGAGTGACGAGGAGGAGGAATTCGCCAATGAACTTGAAGTTGAGGATCACGGTGATGATGGTGATGATGATAGTAGTCATTTTGTATCACACGTTTGCAGTT